TTTGAGACTCCTGATTTATACAGCATTGTTTACGGCTAAATCAGGACTAAAATCTGGCAGAATTGCTGAGCATACATGGGGTGCAAGATGACAGCCAAAGATGATGATAGTGTTTTATTCCTGCACTCACTCTCTCCATTAAAAAACAAGGGCCACCAGATTATGCCCTTTTGTCAGGGTGCCCAGGGGTAGGCAAGGGTACTAAGGGTCTGGGTCTGGGTCTGAGGGTTTTGTCTGGTTCCGTGGCATTTGGAACTTCTGTCATTGCCTCCACTCTGAGCCTCCTGGTTGTCCTGGATGGAGACACTGCGGGTGCCTTTCTGCTGACTCAGAGCCATTTCTGGTCCAGCTGCACACAGTGGCCCTGTGTCCAAGCGCTTTGGGGATGGAGGGCAGTGGCAAGACCACGTGTCAGCTTTCCATCCAGAAAGAATCACCCCCAAAATAGTGAATGTCCAGGGTTGAGCCAGGTCCACAGAACACTCTGAACCACTTCCCACCGTGGCCAGCCTCCTGGGCCAGCCTCCTAGGCCAGCGGAAAACGGCCGTCTCCTCCATTCTGAGAGAGCAAAGGGTTTACATCACTCATCGCCTACTGGGCACCCTTGGGCATCTCTGTCTTATTCAGCAAGTAGGAAGCCACAGACAGGAGATGTCCACAGCCGTTACTTACAAGTCAGAGGCCTGGCCTAGGCTTCCTTGTGAGGAAGACATGGGGCGTTACCAGACTCCTCTCTAAGGGTACATTGTTTTTCTGAAACTAGGGGGTTGGAAACATCTAGTCCTTTGAAATGCTGTAAAGGAGGAGGGGCCTCCTCGCCTGCCCAAGGTTAGGATTCTCTGTGGCTTCTCAGGCAGGGGAGACGTGACCTCCAGCAGTCACCTTCAAGGCTGGCCTCCTCTGGGGTTCCTGACTCAGTGGGCAGGCACTCCAAGAATGTTTGACTCACTCTCAGGCTGGGTTTCCTCTGATAAGACAAAAGGGTCCTTCTCGAAGCTGCCACAGAGATGGAGACCCAGGGCCTCCGAGCCAGGAACCAATCCCCCTTCTGCCTCTGAGCACCCACAATGCCCCAGGCCTTATCCTCTCCCTCCCCCACAGCTTCCTGAACCTTCCTCAGCCAGTCCTTTAGGAAGATCCACCTGCCCATTCGCGGTGGATGTGATTTGATCCTGAAGCTGGCAGAGTACATGGGAGCATGTGGCACTCCTGTGCTTTGCTGGGATGGTGCCTTCACCCATAACCTACAGGAGGTTTAGCGCTAAAGGCAGGGGTCTTTGGAAGAAGAGCTTATAGATGCAAAGGTGCTCACTCAGCCCAGGAACGCCCAGATCTCTCGAAGAGCCCTCTGGGTCAGGAAGCCCGTGGGTCAGTCAAGCCCCTGTGTAGTGGTCTTGTTCTCCACAAGAGCAGAGAGAACATACCAAAGACAGTAGGCATGGGAAGTGTGAGAGCTGCAGGCAGGAAAAAGGCCCTCTGGAAACAGCACACCGGTTGCATTAGCATAGCCTTGTCATGGGGGCATTAACAGCCATGCACATGGCCCCAGCTGACCTGAGGGGGGGGGGGGGATCTGCAGAGCAGGAAGGCCTGAAGGGCAGCACTAAGGCAAGCTGGAGGGGTTGGCTTGTTCTGGCAAATTCTCACTGGAGCTGCCCAGTTCTCTACACGCACCAGGTCATTCAAAGGCACAGACGTCACTCACTCACAAAACAAGAACAAGGCTGACAGCAGCTCGCCGAGAGCCAACTAGCCGAGCACATGCAGGCAATGCCCAGCAGTTTTCCCCTCCAGCGGGGGAGAAACAGCACTTGGCCCGTTATTAATGTGTTCGTCACTTCAAGAGCGATGTTCTAGCAATAACGGGAACCAGTTTAAATTGGATCTAGCTCCTGGGCCGACTCATAATGGGCTCCTTTTGGGGGCCTCGCAAAGTTCATTTTCCAGTTAGTATATCCCAGGTCATTGACTGGCACCTCTGCTAGCTGCCGAGGAAAACCTCTCCCAGAAACAAACCCTTTAGTCTCTGTAAATTACAAGGGAGGGAACATTGAAGGTTAAAATCCCACACCCAGTGGCATTTAGATGTTTGTTTGTTTTTCCACCAAGAAAAAAAAAAATCCTGATTATCAAAAGCAAGCATTGCAAGCAGGGTGCTGGTGGGTGCCGGCACCTCATGCAGAGCCGTCCCACGGGAAGGACCTGTCCCCTGTACCTGTGCCCGTGTGCAGGGGACAGGGGAACCTTCAGCCCAGAGTTTCTTTAGTTACCACCAAAGTGCCAGGATAACCGTCCTACAGGTGGTCCTGGGCTCCAGCCCTGGGGCCACGGCTCACCAGACCCCCCACACCGGCTCAAGCAATGCCCCCGCCAAAGAAGCACAAAGCTGAGTTTCATGGTCTCACTGACCTTGGAGCCGGAGCCTCTCGCGTCCTGCCGCAAACACACAGCCAAGTGTGTGTAAGGCGAGCTGGCAGGGCCCGGCCTGGCCTAGGCTCGGGCTGGGCGGGGCTGGGCGGGGCTGGGCCGCTCTGGCCAATCCCATCCAGGATCTCTGGCCACACGTGTTCCCCCAGCTGTGCCCTTGAAGGCCAGCCCCTGACTTCTCTGCCACCAGCCCCGCGCTCTTTCTAGCACCTGCCCTTTCTCTGAAATGCTTCCCTCGCCCAAGTGTGGTCCTGGAAGCTGCCTCCTTTCGGGCTCAGGGAGGGCTTAGGCGCCTGCAGCCCAGCTCCCTGGCTGCCCAGTCCTGCAAGACCCTGCACCAAGGTGGAAGGACAGCCGGGAAACGGTCACACCAGTTAGGGACTTGTTTCTACCTTCCCTCAGGAGCAGGAACCCTGGGGCTGCGGTTAGGTCTGCAGAATGACACCCCTCTTCCCCCAGCTGCTCAGGTCTGAAAAGAAGAGATGTTTAAGGCTCCCCCTCTCCTGCTGCTAATCAAGATCTGAGCCAAGGACTAGGGACCTCTTCCTACCTTTCCTAGGGCCCCGATTCAGGGAAATCGCAATCACTTCGGAAGCAGATTGCTAGGTAATCTCACTTTCTATCCACACCAGCTTGATATGCCACCCAGCAAAACCAGCAAGCCATACTCCCGCTTAAAAATAGCCCTCCTTGGGGCAGGCACTGCAAACCGGAAAGGTTGGCCGTAAATAGCAGTTACCCGGAACTCTGGACAGCTGCCCTCCACTGGAGCTGCCCGGCCCCTGGTGACTGTCACGTAGGCAGCCTCTGTGGCCACGTGCACACCAACAACTGGTTCCTTTTCTTCTCTGGGACCAATGGGTGCTCAGAGCAGATGATGGAGCAGGGGGTGGAGCCCGGGAATAACCTTCCGCCTAGAATGGCTCTTTCAGGGTTTCTGATTCTTTTCCATGTAACCTATAGCAAAGCATCTATTTTCCCTTTGCACAGAGAGCATTCTGGGGGCTGGAAAATCCCCTGCTTTGGGAGTGCTGTTTCCAGAGGGCCTTTTTCCTGCACACACTAGTAAAATCTTACCAAGTTGTACACTTAGGATTCAAGCACTTAATGTGTATTTGTCACACCTCAGTGAATACATATGTTATCACAATGACTTGTCATACTGAGTTGAAATGTTTACAGAGCAATACTTACCCTTTCTACACCAGGCATACTCAGATATCTTCTCGGCCCTTCCGTGGTATTTCATTAAAACAATCGCAGACTGGGACCAAGCAAACGGATTGCATGATCCTGTTAAGGGTCAGAATTCCCAGAGTGCACACTCTCTCCTAATGGATCACGTCCCTCCCATCCCTGCGGGCCTCTCCTGGCCTAAAGAAAAGCGAACTGGAGGCCTCTGGTGCTGACCAGCTGCTGGGGAGACTGGGCTCTGAGGTCAGGGTGGGGGGCAGGAGTGAGGGGAGTCTAGGTTTATTTCTTCCCAAAATAGTTCTTTTGCACACACATAGTTTTCAAGTCAGTTAAGATACCAAGTGAAATAAAACTCTGAAATAGCCCATATCCCAGACACAGAAAACAAAAGGCTTAAAAAAAAAATCCTCATCTGAGGATATGTTTATTGATTTTAGAGAGAGTGGCTGAGGAGAGAGAGATAGAGAGAGATAGAGAGAGAAGTCGCCTCCAGTTTGCATCCTGAATTGGCATCCCAAATATGCATGCCTACCCTGGATTGAACCTGCAATTTAGGCATGTGCCTTAATCTGGAATCGCACACACAACCTTTTGGTGTACTAGACAATGCTCCAACCAACTGAGCACCCAACAAGGGTGAAAATGATAAGGCCTATGAAAAGCACAGAAATGTGGAGTCAAAAGAATGGCAATTACATTAAGAAACCCTTCTTTTACCACTTTTCCCAATTCCTCACAAATGGATATTAGGGTGCCCATCCATAAAACTTATCTCAACCCTTTATTTTACAATGCAATTTTATGTAAGTTAGGTGGGACATGGTTAAGAAAAGGTGGTGCCACTCCTTGGGGGCCTGGTCACCTTCAAGCGTATTATGAAGGTGGTTGATAGGCATGGCAACCTCTACACGCGATGCACAGCAGAGATTCCAGATTTCTCCCCATCCTTCAACTGCCACCCTTGTTGTGTGCCATTATTCCTCTCGCATCGTTCCAACTCCCTTCAAAGTGCAAGGCTCTTCCCAATTCCTCATAGCCAGTGCGGCCACGTGGCTGGCTCTTGCCACTGAGACAGGAGCAGACATGAAATACACAACTGCCATGTCATTTGCTTGAAAGGAAATCTGTTTGGGGCTTATTTCTTTGCTGCCCCTGAATCCAGTTGGAACCTGGATATAGCAGGACCCAGAACCGACTGGCAGGCAAGGATGGCCAAGGAAAGAAGTGAAGGGAACCAGGCTTCCTGAATCCCCACCTGCCCGATTGCTCATTTCTCCCCTAAGCTTTAGAAGTAAAACATTTCTGAAGGAGCTCATTGCTATGAAGAAGACCCTGTGGAAAAATACAAAAAAGAATAAAAGAGACGAGTGAGCCATCGGAGAATTCAAGAAAGGCGAAGTTTAATTTGCATATAGGCATAGCCCATACCTTGCACGGCAAGCGATGGCCAAAACACAAATCCCTCTGTCGGCATCACAAGTCAGTAGATTTCCAAAGTAACTGGACACAAACAATATGCTTCTCAAAGTAACACAAGGGTCTGTCCCTTACACGCACACACACACACACACACACACACACACACACAGAAATACATTTAAATCTTCTTCTTCAAGAGAGAGGAGGATGGTAATCATGTGACCTCACATTTGGACAGCACTTTATACAGTTTACAGACTAACCCATTTTGTCCTCATGACAGCCCAGTGAGGTAGGCAGCACATAAACGACTATTTACTTCATTTGTAGGCGAGAAAACAGGCTCAGAGAGGTTTCAGCACTGGCCTGAGGTTCCCCAGCTGAGGATGTGGAGTGGGGTCTGGGACTCGGCTCTGGGAAGCCTCATCCAGTGATCTGTCATAACTGCCTTTGTAGGGGAAAGAGAAACGGGTGAGTAAAGGACAGTGGTTCAGCATGTGAAGTGGGATTATTATTTTCCTTGAGCAGATGAGACCAGGTACAATCAACCTTAATGTTAAAGTCATGCTGTGTGGCAGCCCCGATAACGAATTTTCGGAATTATTCATGTATTCATAACTACAACAAAATGGTTGTTTTCTACTTTCTGTTTATCTGTGCCCTGCCTTAATATTGTGTCACTAACTGAAATGAAGATATGTCACTAGGTCAGATTTCATTGACTCGAGTCTTATTACCAGGATTCACACAGTAGCATCTGTAATCAACTCAGTATTTAAACTTACAGTCTGTTGTCTTACCGAAAAGAAAAGGGCTCTTACTCATTTATTTCTTCTGGGTGTGCACATTAACCTGGTTCTATTCTTTAGCCATAAATAGTAGTTATCATTTTATTCCATTTCAATAGTAGTCAAAATGATCAACTCTACAGGTTGGATTTTAAAAATAATCTTATACTTTACAATGAAGGGAAATATTTTTTTCAGAAAAAAAAACACAAAACACCCTCAAACTTTAAAAAGAAATGCTAAATAAAACCTTTTCTTTTAAAATAGAAGTTAATTTTATTGAGAATAACCCCTCTTCCTGCATTACTCTTTTTAGTTGAGAATTTAAAAGTGGCCCAATCATTGCTGACGGAAAGTCTTGTCTCATGTAATACGGGAGGGGGGGGGGGGCGGGAAGAGATGTGGTCCATCATCACACACACTAACTGAAATGTAAGGAATGTTTCTCTCTCAAGTTACTCAGTTCTTATGAGTTTCCTTTGTTTTTAAGTAGTCCTTTAAGACGTACTGAAATTTAACAAACAGTAATTGGGACTTTGGGTGAGAGCCCCTTGAAACTATCACAACAGTAGTTTAAAATTCCCCTCTCTGTCCCTTCAGAGAAACACTAAGGAAAAGTGACAACATTCTACCGCATGCCTGAGTCTGTCACATAATATTTTGGCCTAAGGAAGAGATTTGTCCCTGTAGCAAAACTAGATGTCTTAGTCAATGACCAATGGAATCCCCTAAAAGCTGCAAGATAACTTCATTGAGAGTATGAAATGTGGGTGTTCATCTGCAAGCATGAAATTGAACTTTACTTCTGACTTTCTGGGCTAATTTTGCAATAATAAAAGTATTTGCTACTTTGTTGCTAGAGGCTGACTTCCCATCTCCTCTTAGAAATGGGTCTCACATAATGGAATATAGGCAGAGGCAGCCAAGAGCGAAGGCTCCGACAATACTCACGGAGCTTGCAAAGCAGAAGAGGATAGGTGCTGTAACAATCGGAGGAAACACCACAAGTTGCTCTTGGGGATTTTAAATGTGACTAAATTGAGGCTTTTGAAATGTGCGCTCCTATTCCCACTGGCTCAGAAATGGTCAGGTCATGAAAAGGAACTCCCTTGGAGGCGGGGTTCCCCCCACCTCCAGCAAGGCTTCAGGAAGCTGCAGGAACTTGGAAAGCTCAATAAAATGCTAAAGGTCAGCATAGCAACTGACAGTGCCCATTGCTGACCACTGGAGGCGCGCCAACATTCTGCAGGAAATAAACATGAAAGCTTTACTATTTGAAGAAAACCTGCCTGCCAAAAGCCGGGGAGAGTTTAGAAATGTCTCTATCTCCTATTTTTCTTTAATAAGAATGGCTGCAGTGGCTCTGGAACATGTGAGTCAGAGAAATACAGCTCCAAACTTCCAGGGAAAGCACACACAGGACCACCGCCTTCCCCTGGAAGACTTTGGGGACTCCGAGGCAAACCGGAAGGCATTAACATTTCTAGGAGTTATTTTTGCCTGAAAGTTCTGTGTGTGGTCCTTTCACTGATTGTCCTGTTTTCACTCATCTTCCAAGATTGTTTTTGAGTCAAGAAAGTTAACCTTTACTTTCTTTTCTTATGCAAGTCTTTGAGGTGCTTGGTGCAATTGACATATTAGTTTCAAGCCCTCAGTCTCTGAACACTGAGAAATAAATTGCAAGTTATGCACTGTTAGGATCCGAACAACCCATGCTTTTTATCATGCATCAAGATGCTTCAACCTCTTAATTGAAACTAAAGAGAACAAACAAGCAACTTTCTGTAAAAAAAAAAAAAAAAAGAAGAAGAAAGTATTCATAAGTAGCCCTCCTTGGGTTTAGTGCTACACTGTTGGCTAATGTGAGCTACTGAAAATATTTTTGGAGTGGTCTTCAAATATTATAAATATTTTCTTTTACTTACTTGATATTTTGATACATAGTTATGTACAGAGATGGCCCTTACCATGCAGGGAAAATCTACATTCTCCATCTCCATGGTACTTTATCAAAGCCGGGCCCTTCCACCAGGTTTTACGAGCCAGCCATGTGAATGTTAGTCAGCTGCTAGCTCTAACAACATAATTAAAGTGCGAAGAAAGAGGGAAAATAGCCAGGCAGATCAGTGTTGTTCATTGTCAGCATTGATACACTTCATGGCTCGAAGTGAAAATATCAGGTGCAAACAGGCTCAGACAACAATAACTGAATGTTGTTGTCGTTTTTCTTTTCCTTCTTTTAAAGCAGAGGTCTCCCTGAGAAGAGGAGAGGGAAGTAAACATGGAGAGAGCCCCATTTCTTCAACAACTGGCAATCCCGGGACCAGCAAGGTCCCTTTCCCCTCACAGAATAGCAGTACGAACCCCAGCAGTTGGTATTCTGATATAACAGTTGTTGAGTGGTTTTCCATATACATACAATATTTCCACTCAAAAGTATAAAAATTTAAAAACAAAGAGGGTAGGGGAAGAACTGTCTACCAAGGGCACGTGGAAGTGTGGGTTTTAAAAAGAAATTCCCACTAACCAGCTTTTAAAACTATACAACCCGTCTCCATAATGAGCCTAGAAAATGGTTTGTGTACATCAGAAAGGATTCCCCACATTGCTGTAAGGGGGAAGGAAGCAAACAAGCACAACAGTGTGCAAAGATTTGTAAGCGCTACCCCGTTTCACTTAGCCTTGCAACCCACTCTTCCCCACGGCACCCGGTGGCCTCTGTCTTTCTCCACAGTTTTGCCGGTGAGGTGTGCGGCACCTTTTGCAAACTCTGCACGTCCCCCTCCAAGGGTGTTGGCTTCTCTGGCACCACAGCCTCAGGGAGAAGCCCCACCCACCCCACGAAGCCACTGGCTGGAATCCTCTGGGGCACAGCCTGCTGAGTTTCTAGTTAAAGAAATGTTATGTACAAATGCACTTGACTTCATCGTATCTTTCGTCTCCTGTCCCCAAAGACTGAAAAGGCAGTTTCAGAACATGCCCTGACTCCTCCATGCACTGACAACCGTGCACATGCTGTAGACAGAAGTTGCTGACGCCAGCCCATCCCTCCACAGGAAGCCTGGGCTTTTCTGGAAGCTTGTGACAAAGGAGATGTAACAGAAGCAGTGAAGGCCCAGGAGAAGATGGGTAGGTGTGCCCAGGCCGGTAAAGTGCCAGAGAATCATCACAGGCCTTGTCCAGGAATCCTCATCCCCAAGATTGAACTTGGGGCACAGTTTGAAATGTACCTTCTTACCTGTGTCATTAAAATGGCTACCACATCTCCCATCGTACATTCTCTTTCTGCGGAATGTGCCACCAACCTTTACCAAATATCCTTCTTTTCACCTTCCCACCCAAGTCTGAAGCATCTGTCTTTGACCCCAAACAGCTGGGCTTCTCTCACTGGAGACCGAATCCAGTTACGTTCCTTCTTCCATGGACAAAGGAGACCTGTTTTGGTCTCCGTCCTGTCCTCATGGTACAGTGGGAGGCATGGCATGCACAGTTCTGTCTGTTCCCCCTTCTATGAAAATTCCCCGGGCCCAGGGCAAGGCCAAATCTTCAAGCAGGGAGCCGAGGTTCAATTTTTAGTGACAGCTCGTACAGTGTATCTTCATCTATGATGAGGGCTTTGTCAAGCAAGTACTGAGTGACCTGAGGAAAAAAGGCAAATCCTCGCTGTTAGTTCCTTTAGGACACCGGTATGTTGCATTTTTCTTAATCGAATCTGACAGTTCAACATATTCTTTTAAACATTAAAAAATTTACATAACTAAAAATTACTAATATATCCTCAATGTAAAAAAATAAAAACAATGAAAGGATTAGCCAAAGAACATATAGGCATAACCCGCAGACACAGATAGTAGTATGGTGATGGCCAGAGGGAAGGGAAGTGGGGGCTGAGTGGAGGTGGGCAAAGGGAGGAGAAATGAGAACATATGTAATATTGCCAATAATAATAATAATAATAATAATGAAACTAAACATCTCTAGTGTTCTCCCAATTCGCTGGGCTCTTCCCTCAAGAGGCACCCTTGTTATCATTTGGTTTGTATTCTGCTTGAATTTTGACTTTTTAAAAAAAAAATACATTTTATTGATTTTGTACAGAGAGGAAAGGAGAGAGATAGATAGTTAGAAACATCAATGAGAGAGAGTCTTCGATCAGCTGCCTCTTGCACACCCCCTACTGGGGATATGCCCGCAAAAAAGGCACATGCCCTTGACTGGAATCGAACCCACGACCTTTCAGTTCCCAAGCCGACGCTCTATCCATTGAGCCAAACCAGTTTCGGCGAATTTTGACTTTTTAAACAATTGCCTTTTGTCATGCAGAAGTTTTTTAATTTGATGCGGTAAAATTTATCAAACTTGTCTTTTACAGCTTTGCATTCAGTGATTAAGGAAGTCTTTCAAATCTAAAGATTATAAATATTTTCTCCTCTATTTTGTTAAAATCATTTAATGTTGCTTTTTCTTTTTAGGTAATAAAATCATCAGGGATTTATTTTTATGAATAATATATAAGATGGAGAGGCAAAATTCCTCATTTACTGGATGGTCAAGTTTTTTCCAGTTCTTAAAAAAAGCCTCCTTTATACCATCCTAGAGGCCGGCCCTCGCAGCCCTGAAGTTCATCTGGAAGGTCGTCTGGAAGTCGTTCTGCTGTTCAGCTGTTCGGTCAATTTGCATATTACACTTTTATTATTATAGATTAGATTTTCGTTTAGATAAAATATGCATCTAGACTTTTATCCTGCTTCATTTAATTTGTATTCCTATACCTGTATAATCCTTTTTTTTAAGATAATCCTTTTTAAAATATCCTCACCTGATTTTTAGAGAGTGGAAGAAATCGGGAATTGACCTGCAATCCAGGTGCATACCCTTGACTGGGAATCAAACAGGAGAGCCTTTGGTCCTCAGTTAACACTCCAACCACTAAGCACACCAGCCAGGGCCCATATAATCCTATTTTATGCACTACAATTTAGGACATGTGTCTGAATCTGGTAAGGAAAGCTCTCCCTTACTCTTATTTAAAAAAAAAAAAAAATCTTGTCTGTTCTTTGCCTATCTAAGCTTCTTTATTAGTTTTAGGATAAGTTTGTCAAGTTCCAAAAAATAGTAAGGAAAACTGGCTGTAAGTTATATTCTGTACTACCTTCTCAATGTTTCTGTAAAGTTAAAACTATTCTAAAAAACAATAACACTTAAAAATGTAAAGAAGGAAGGAAGGAAGGAAGGAAGGAAGGAAGGAAGGAAGGAAGGAAGGAAGGAAGGAAGGAAGGAGGAAAAAAATGGAAGGGAGGGAGGGAGGGAGGGGAAGGATGGAGGGAGGGAAGGAGGGAAGGAGGGAGGGAGGAAGGAAGGCTGGACAGTTGAGGCTGGGATGGAGAGAAGAAAGGGTAAAAGAGGTATATGATGTGAGAGGAATCTTGAAAGATGAGTAGAGACTACATAACGCAAGACTTTTTGGACATAGCAAGGTCTTTTTCTTTCTTTATCCTAAGAGCAATGGGAAACCAGTAAAATAGTTTATGAAAGTTGAAGACATATTCCATTTTGTGTTTCAAAGTGTTCTGTCCAGCTGTAACTTGTAAAATGGGTTTTGCATTCTAAAGTGAATACAAATAGATCAGGTAACAGATTATTAGTAGCTTGGACCAGGGGTGGTGGTGATGTAAACAGATTCAAGAGAAATATTAGGATGCAAAATCAATAGAATTTGATGCTAAATTGGTGTCTTTTGCCTTATATTATTAATTTTCTTTTACATCCAACTTGCCAAAGATTTGTCTATTTTATTGGTCGTTTCTGTGAGACAGCTTTTGGTATTATTGATCAACCAAAATAATTTTTTATTTAATAAAGAAACAATATTACCTTTGGCTGATGCTCTATTCGATAGGATGTCTGCTGGAACTGGCGTATCTCTCTGACGATGTGTGATATCTGACAAAGAAACAACAACAGAAGCAAAAAGGAAGTATTTCCTTGTGTGCAGCACATTCTTCTGGGAGCCTAGCCTAGAGTAGTCACTTCCTCAGTGAGGTATCTGGAGCTCTGCCTGATCATTCCCTATGCACAGGGCTTTCTTGCCTTTCAATGAGCTATAGGAAATGCTAACAGCAAGGAAATACTGAATTCACAATCAGGGAAGCAGCTGGCACTGAGTGGCTCGGCTCCGGAGAGGCAAGCTCTGGATGCTTTTGTCCATGTGCTCCTTGCTGTTAAGGCTGGTGCTCAGAACCTTGTTGTTGAGCAAGAAGCATTCAGCATCTGTCTATCACTGGCCAGTCTTAGACAGCCACCCCAGGAGCTTTATTCCCCACCCCCTTTGCTCAGATTGCAAGTTGAAGTGGCTCAGATGAAAACCTCCTCAGTTGGCCAACATCAAGTGTTAGACCCAGTGTCCACCACCCCATCCACCTCGAGATTAAAAAGCAAGCAGTGGCTTTCATGACGTAGCCTCTTCTCCATAAGCTAGTGAAGTTATTAAAATGGGCGGATGAGGACATTATCACCTACCATTCTCATTTTGGAGAAATTGACAAGGCCTTCCTCAGTGAAGTTTGGTGTTCCTTCTTCAATAAATGCCAGGTCTGTCAGGTACATCCCCAGATAAGGAACGGCGGGGGGGTTACAACTGCAAGACCAAGAGGAGCCGTTCCCATGCTCATTCACACACATGTCGGTTTCCCTCCCCAGTTAAACAGGAAGCAACTATGCTGCTTCATCCTGAAGAATGAAGTCCTCTAATTCCATTTTCAAAAGCACACTTATGATATACAGAGTACTTTTTTTATTGTGATGAAAAATATATAACATACAATTTCTCATCTTGTTTTTCAATTATAGTTCACATTCAATATTATCCTGTATTAGTTTCAGGTGTACAACATAGTGGTTAGACAATCATATTGATATGCAGAGTTTTAAATACATCTTCTCATAATAGAATATAACACAAATGACAGCCCACGCTTTACTATGTGTTTGAGACAATGACATGTTCAAACAACAGGATAGCTCATAGACAAATACAGAATATTTGCTAACCATGCTTGTTGGCAGTATTTGTTTACAGTACTGTAAATTGGCTACACTCCTCTGAGGGGTAAATGCAGGTAGGGAGTCTCTAATCCCTTACCTCGTTAAAGTGCCAACACTCAACCTTAAAGAACAGGGTGGAAAAATCACTGGGATTAGAGGTTATAAACTGGTTTTCTGTTTTAGTTAGTATTTAAATCCACAGATGTAATTAATGTTATGACTGCACACTAAAGCGAGACCCTGTTTGTTTTTTTTAGGAGGGTTACACTGGGTCTTCTCAGAGTCTAGAGCTGAGAACATGGGCCTTTGATCCAGAGAGAAGTGAGTTTGAGTCCTAGCTTGACCACCGACTAAGTGATGCTGTCCTAACGCTCTGAACTAGTTTCCTCATCTATAAAATGGAGACAATAAAACGTATGTCTCTAGTTAGTTGTGAGGCCTAAAAAAAACACAGCAAGCACTTAGCATGGATTCTGTAACTTAATAACTATTCAATGAATAGTTATTGTTCTATTGTTGTTGTTGTTGTTGTTATCACTAGGAGTCTTTCTTTTACCTCTGGCATCACAGGACCTATGTGCAGATAGTGAGAAAACCAGCTGTAGAAGATTTATCCTATTCTATCCTATCCTATCCTATCCTATCCTATCCTATCCTATCCTTCTCCTTTTTATTCTCTTTACTAGATACCCAATGCACGAGGATTTGTGCAGAATGGGCCTTCCTTACCCTGGCTGCCAGCACAGCCTTTGCTCTGGCCCAGAGCCACCTTTCTGCCTTCGTTCCACCAGGAGCCACCTTTCCACCTTCCCATGCTGCCCAGAGGCCTGAAGCAGCTGCAGTAGTGTGAAATGCCTGCTATCCACCCCTGGCCTCGGGACACCTGCATATGCAAATAAACCACAATCTTTGTTGGGTTAATTTGCATAATCACTCCTGATTGGCTGGTGGGCATAGTGAATGTATGGTCAATATGCATCTTTTATTAGTGTAGATTCTTTTTCTTTCCTTCTCTCAAGAGTGAAAGATCCAGCAATAAAAGGCCAAAAATAGATAACAATAGTTAATAGATACTGGGATATTTAAATTTTAAAAATCACAGGGTATCATTGCACTTAGCTTAAGAAATATTCAATCAAATTTTTTATAGTAAATCATGGTTTGATTTACTGTGGTGACATTTTTCTTCTTGTTGGAATACTCTGCATACTGTGAGTATACCTATATGACACTATATGGACAGTATTCTAAGTAAAAAGGAAAATCAGAAAAATATGTAATGATGGAAATAGTTTCTTATTTGTTTTTCTTTACAAAGCAAAGTAGGAGGTAGGCCTCTATGTGAACACTATGTAAATTATTTAAATATATTTATAAATTATGGATAATTTAATAAAGATATACATACTTTTTAAGGGTTTCTCTAAGATTTTTAAATCTTCCTTCAGATGAAACAGTCTTCTGAAGTTTGTCCATTAGAGCTTTTGTCTAGAAAGAAACAAATGTCTTAGTATATCATGAAATACTACTATGGTTTGATAAGAATTACCAAAAGATGCTTAGTTCTCTTCCACAATAGCAGATTTCTGTGATGGAATATAATTTTCAAAGTATTGAGATGAGGTATTATATTTAAATTTGATATGTGTGTGTGGGGGGCAAACATGTGGAAAAGAAAAACTGACTATACCATTCAGTCAAAAATAGAAGAAAATGTTTAGAAAGTAAAAATAGCAATGCATGAGACACTCTGGGTCTTAAAGGACTGAAAGGCACATGTTGAATAGAGACTTTTAAAGGTGAAGTCTCATGTCAGGGAGTTTCATGATGAATCTCTTTGAGTGTTGATTTCCAAATCATCGAAGTAGATATTGGTTGTTTGGTTATTGACCTATCAATATCCTCTACTCCAAATCCCCCCCCCCCTTTTTTTTGATGTGGTCATCTTCATCAACTTGTTAGAAAAATACAATTGATATATACCAAGAGATGGAATTGTTGTTGACATTGATCTGGACTTTCATGGCACATGGGAGGAAAAGAGGGTGGCCCTTGGGGATGATCACACACACTTGGGAACACTCGCATCCAGGCAGCTTGGCTGCGAAAAGCACTAGGAATGCCCGGCTCGAGGCTCCTCAGACTACCCTGTCCCATAAGCCTGGAGGGGCTCTCCCAACTCCGGCCAACACCCACGGAGAAGGCCAGGAGGAAAAGCCCGGGGAAACTGTGACTGAAGTTATCTGAATGAAAATGACAGCATGCGCATGCTGAGAAAATTAATAAAGCTCTGTATCTGTACATCTTAGTCATCATGCCGGAACTTTACATTCACTACATGAGTAACAGAAAGAGATGAATGTTGAGGCCCCTCATCCCTGGTGTTTGGCCCTAAGGCATTTGCACCCTTACTTTGAGGGAGAGAGGATGTTCACTCAACCTCATTTGAGATCAGTGTGCCCTCTCTAAGTAATTGAGGAAAAAACTCCTGTCAACCACATGGTTTGAGGTTATCCCCAAGCAAGTCATAATGAACATTTTGGGTTGTATTTTCTTTTCTGAATGAACCATTTATAAGTGCACTGAGTGGAATCAATTAAGTGGTAAGAACACAGTAATTACCCACATTGGCACCTTTCTTTGGCAACTGAGCTGCTCGTTTCAGTTAATTTTTTCCTAATTAGTAATATTTATCTTGGCTCAGGTCTCCCAGCCTCTCTGCAGCAGGATGTGTCGCACGCTGATGCTCACCTGCTTGGACACCTTGGCCCAGGTTTTCTTCAGCCGGTAGATGGCGGTCCTGTTTAAGGCCGAGGTGATCTCCAGCATGCCGTTGTAGTTGTGCAGACATCGGCAAATGTCTGCCACCGCCACCCACTTCTCAATGGCGTTGGCACGAGAGCTGATATCTGCGTAATTCATGATCTGGGAGGCCACCAGGTTACTCATCTGAGACAACGGGAAAGCCAAAAGAGGCGGCTAAGAGCCAAAGGAATGCATTCAGGCCACATACTCGAGTTACCTGCAGAAATGTCAGGAAAGCAGGGTACCAAGGAACATGGAGACCATAGTCCAGCTTTAGACAACTTTCTGGTGTGACTGAAGTCTATACCAATACTAACAAACTAATGAGCACCTGTTCATCCTCAGAGGGAAGAGAGGCAGGGCTTAGAATCAGCTTGTTGGGGGAAGAGGTGACTTAGCTCATCAGTAATTTTGATGAAGGAGCCATTTTCAACAGTTATTGAGGAAATGGAATAGAATGAGCTAACCCCTGAGGAATGGCAACCTCTCACTTCTTGGGGGCTCTCAACATGCTCCTTGCCCCTTTCGGTATGGAATATTCACTCTAGGAATCCTCAGTTGTCACAGAAGAAGAAAACAAATCAAATAGTTTCTAACCTGATAAACTCTCAAACCAGAAACACTTCAGTGAAAATGGAAGAGAGAATATTTTCTCCTTCCTATCTTCTTGAATTTTTTCCCCACCAGCAGAAAAAGGACCTATAGTTTCAAGGCTAAGCACTGTAATACTTTTAATAAAAGCCAAGAGAAAAAAGAAATAACTTAAGAAGCTCAATACAGAATATGGAAAGGAAAAGGGAAGAATAGGATTGATTGCTAAAAAGAGAATATGGGGTCTAATTTTGTATCTGTAGTAAAGGCCCGATGCATGAAAATGTGTGCGAGAGTAGGCCTTCCTTCCCCCGGCTGCCAGCACCCGCTTCCCTCTGGCACCCGGGACCCGGGCTTCCCTCCTCCGGCTGCCAGCAGGCACCTGGGACACGGGCTGGGTTTCCTCCAGCCTAGCTTCATCAGGAAGGATGTCCAGAATGACATCCGGAAGACGTCTAGCATATTACCCTTTTATTATTATAGATACTAAATCTGATGGGTACAGGCATTCTTTGATAATTTTGTAACCACTTAAGATCTTTCTTTTAATTTTTTTTTTTTTTGAGATTTTGAGGGAACATTTGTGAAAGCTGGGGATAATGGCAAAAAAAAAAAAAAAAAAAAAAAACCACAAACTTAGGGCTTAGGATAGATATAGTGCCTCAGAATTATCAATATGCATATTTATTAAAAATTTATTTTATATTGAGTACCTACTATGAGCCAGGCATTTTTTTAGGAGCTGGAAACAGAAAGACATAAATTAGCACCCCTGACCTTAAAGCACTGAGTCTAGCTAGATGGGAAGGTGAGGGGGTGGGCAGACATAAACAGCAAATGCCACACAGTGAAATGCAAAGCCAAGTCCTCACGGGGTGGGGAGTGTGGTTGAGAGCATAGAGGCTCATGGGACATCTAGCCTAGAACAGAGGAGGCTTTTGGAATGAGGTTGTGGCTGAACTGAGTCCTAAAGGATCAGAGGGAGTTAGCCACTGCTTTCCACCAATGTATTGTAGAAGAGCATTTTGCACAGGACAGAGATGGAAGGCATGGTGCAAGGGAGGATCTGGCAGCCCTCTGAGGAGCCCAGGAGTCATGAGAGACAAGGATGACAGGTGAACAGGGCTCTTGTAGGCCAGGATGAGCAGCTGAACCATATCTGGAAGGTGAGGGATAGCCACTTACAGAGTTTTGTCTAAGAAATCAGTATAATTAAATTGGCCTTTCAGAGAAGTGATTCCTGTGTGAGGAGTGGGTGGGAGGGCAGTGAGGCAGCAGGGGATAGAGAGTTAGAGCTCCTGGGGAGAAAGGATGAAAGGCCAAGTCAAGGTGATGGCAGTGGGAAGGAGAGGACAGGCGCCGAGACCTATGTAGACTTAGTGTTCACTGATACGTTGGGGATGGTGGTGGGGATGGGCAAGGGAGAAGAAGGAGTCAAGGAGGATCTTTAGATTCTGTCCTTGGTCGAGTGGGTGGATGGCAAGGCCATCATGTGAGACTGAGAACAAAGAATAAGATGCAGAAACTGGAGGTGCTAACAATAAATTCATTTGCAAACTGAGAGCACAAGCAGTGGCGATGTGGGTATGGAGCTTGGGACTGAACCCCATTTGAGTGTCCATTGTACCCCAAGTGTGTGTGCGGCACAGGCGGCGGAGGTTGGTTTTCCACTCCAGAGGCTCTGCTTCCAGAGTGGCCCAGGGGGGCCATGCGTCTGTCTTTTACTTGGCTCGGGTCTCCCAGCCTCTCTGCAGCAGGATGTGTCGCACGCTGATGCTCACCTGCTTGGACACCTTGGCCCAGGTTTTCTTCAGTGGCTCTGATGCTCATTGTGTGTTAACGTTCACTTGGCCTGTAACTACTCTGCAGGCACTCTGTGCAAAAGCACTGTCTTGCCGAAACCAGTTTGGCTCAGTGATAGAGCATCGGTCTGCGGACTGAAAGGTCCCAGGTTTGATTCCTGTCAGGGGCATGTATTACGTTGGTTGTGGGCATATCCCCAGTAGGGGGTGTGCAAGAGGCAGCTGGTCAATGTTTCTCTCTCATTGATGTTTCTAACTCTCTATTTCTCTACCTTCCTCTCTGAAAAAAAATCAATTTAAAACAAAACAAAACAAAACAAAACAAAAACACTGTCTTGGGAATCTACACTGCTGATTTGTATTTTGATTCCAGATGACCTGTTAATTTACCTGGTAGTCTTTTTTTCTTTTTCTTTTACTGTAACTGCAAAGAGGACCTTCCTTTTCCCCTGGGAAGCCCTGAAGACACTCCAACATCTGTGGTTCTAATTTGGGACTGAAACCATTAGAACAGGACAAATGAGGAGTCAATGGGTATAAAGCAACTCCATCTTACCGCTGAGAAAAGGGAGGTAGACCAGCTGCTGGTCACAGCAGAACCACAATCTTTCTCAAAGAGGTCCCTTCCAAGCCTGGAATGCATTCAGTCATGATGAGAGAGGGTGCACCAACCCCACCTGCCTGTCACCAACACCACCAGGGACCAGTGGCCCATGTGCTGTTCACTCTGTCAGAAGCGGTTGATCTATGAGGTAGTAATGATTATGATGAAAATAATTACCCCAGCCTATACATTATTGAGCACTTACCAGACTCGAGCACCATCAGAAGTAAACCACTTGCACCTGGAAGTTTACTGAAAATCCTGACATCACTGTGAGCTCTTAGGAGAGCTAAGTGTGTCTTTAACATCCCATCCATCCCATGAGGGTAGCTCTGTTTTAGGAAAAGAATCTTAAGGCCCTGGTCTTCCTCTTCCTGTAACATGCCCGAGGTTTTCTGTTCATGGTTACTCACATCATTAAAGTGCTTGCTGGTTTTCATAATGTAAGGTGTTCTTTCATTTTTATCCAGCTTCATCCAGCCCTGCCCAAGAAACTCTCTGGAAGTTCAAAGCAAAATATAAAACCAAGTAAGCTTTTAAAAATGGTCAATTATTGGTGTGCATAATTATTAATATGATATATATTAAACGTGACATTGCCCAACACCTGCTGCTGCTGACTCTCTCAAATGAATTTTAGCTCAACTCTAGCATTTCACAATGTCATGCAAAAAAGAAAGAGATTTTCCAGTTTCCAGCTTTCTCTGGAACTTTGTCCCTGTTAGGATCATTATAAAGGCTTCTCTAAAGTTGGAAAACAATGACCAACACAGAAGAATAAAGAGGTTAAATACTAACTCAGAAACCAAGACTATTTTCCTTGGATTGGCTTGTTAAAAAAAAAAAAAATGTAAGCCTTGGCAGAAGGTCCAAAAAAATCAATCACTACCAAAAATGTTAATCAAGACCAGCCTGTTCTCCTCCACTTTGCTCTGCTGCCTCCAGAAGAATATGATTCCATGGGCAGGACATTCCTTTGTTCTCCCAGAAGCCCAGAACAGAACACCCTGAGGAGGGCTGAGTAAACAAACACGATACAGCCCATTCATGTGGTGAAGGCAGTCACAGCTGGGAGCTCAGCCTGGTGGAAGGCCTGTCTTCCAAATAACATTCCTGCTCTTTCACTTCACCTTTGAGCAGGCCACCAGTTCACAGTAAGTGACCATCAAGGTAGAACATACAGGAATTATTTTATACTAGAAGCCTGGCGCATGACATTCATGCACTAGGCAAGGGGGGGGGGGGGTGTCCCTCAGCCCGGCCTGCACCCTTTTACAGTCTGGCAGCCCTCGAGTGATGTCCAACTGATGGCTTAGGCCCGCTCCCACAGAAAGTGGATCTAAGGTGCAGTCAGACATCCTTAGTGCTGCTGCAGAAACAGGAAAGGCTCCCTCCACCAGCCGCTGTGCTCACCAGCCATCAAGCAGGCTTGTGTCTGAGCAGTGCTCCCCCTATGGGAGAGCACTGTCCACCAAGGGGCAGCTCCTGCATTGAGTGTCTGCCCCTGATGATTAGTGTGCTTCATAGCAACTAGTCGTCATGCCGTTCAGTCGATTTTCATATTACCCTTTTATTATATAGCATAGTCATTACAGAGAATAACTAGAAATAAAATCACTCTGACATATTCTTAACCCAGAAATGCTGACTGAGTGTCTGGGCCAGTTCTTTGTGGTGGTACTATTGGTGGTTCTGCTCCCATCCTGCAAGGCTGTTGGACAAAAGGTGTGCCAGTTCCGTGGATGGAAATAACTGGTAGATGTTCACACTAGCACAAAGGGGCAGAGGTGAGAGGTGGGGAGGGTCCCAGAAAGAAACCACACCAAGGTTTGGGCTTCCCTCTTTCTCCTCCTCCACAGAGGTCATGCTCATCTCCTTCTGAATCCTCACTGCACTGGAGGGTTGTGAGGAGGAGGGGGAAGAAGCACTGTGGTTCCTAACACATGTCTTCAGATAGACATTGGGTAGGGCCAATGGGCCACATTTCGATTTTTTTTTTTTTTTTCATGTTCATGGGTGGGTCTAGGAGTGCTGGAAGAGGGATAGGGAAAGAAGATAAATGACATAAAAGTCTGCAGGGGCAGCCTCTGTCCCTGCCTCATGTCTTCCTAACAGAGCTGTGGATCTGACCCTCTAACCACCCCTCGCCAATCCACCCTGACAGGCCTGACCTTCCATCCTCACGGATGTCCTCTTCTCTCTGTACGACATGTTCATATCTCTTGCCCAGCCCCTCCTTTACCTTCTATTTAGTTCTTTGTTCAGAGAGAACATCTGCCAACAGTTGACATTTGTCCAAGCAAAGGCCTTGTTTATGGGCTACCAAATATGACAGCCAGGAGCGGGGGCTTAAAGAGACCCCCTCACTCTACACGAGAAATCAAAAGGCTGTGTGAGGAGACCATGGTGTCAAAGCTCAGCAATACTTGTTGACTTATGCAAGTGGGTAGCAAAATTTAGAGAATTTACGTTCTATGCTTGTTGTCATACATAGAGAAAAACAGTGTGACCATCTTGAGAGTCCCCCCTAGTTCCACATCAACATTTCCAATATGAACAGGAACCAAAAGACATTCCGTGGGACCTTAGCACTTTAAGGTTAAGACACACCGCGGCACACACATGTGCCTTGGGGATAATTCAGCGCTAAGGCGCTTTCCTGACTGAGAGGGCCCGGGGCTGCCGGGGCGGCACTCACTCGTAGGGAATGCTTCTGAAAACGATGTGGTCCAGGAGGGTGATCTGCTCAGCCAGCTCCATGGCTGGCAAGGTCTCAAAGCACTCGGCCTTCGGACAGTCCGTCTGCAAGATATGGAGGAAGAGGGGCGTGAGACACACCCCAGAGAGGCTCCGGTGTGCTCCGTCAGCTGCCGAAGCACAAAGTCCATCAAAGACTCTAGCGAAGAAGACCATTCCCATCATGGACCAGTTCCCAAGCCCCACGCACATTCGGTTCCCCTCCCAGAGCCTCACAGAGGGAACACGTGGCCAGGCACACTGCTGGCCTTTGGGAGGTGGCCTGCGCAAGACCCTGGGGGCACTTACCAGTTGAATTATATCCTCTAATTTTAGGTGAATGTCATCTTGATCATCTTGTGAAAGAGCTCTAAAAAATAAAAACAAAAAGTTCCCCCGTGAAAAGGAAGTAGGCATGGCAGGAATGAAACAGCAAAGCGTTACGGTGTTGCCTGGGTGAAGAGTCAGAGGGTTTAGGGCTGTGTGGCTGGGCTGCCAGCTGCAGGCAGCGGGGCCCTGAGCTGGAGACAGGAGGCTAAGGAAACAGATAAACACACATGTTAAAGGCACAGGGTTGTTCAGAGAGCTGACTTGTTACTTAGGAGGCTATAAGGAAAACACCACTATCAAAGTGAACCTGGGGATGGCTCGGGCCTCCTGCAATACTCCATCCAGAGGGAGGGAGTGCCCCACCTGTGATCCTCTGTCCCCTAAACCTGACCTCTTCCTGCCGAGGTGGAAAGCACAGAGCCACTCCCTCCCCATTCACGTGTAGCTCAGGGACTTCCTCCATGGCAAACATCTGAACATGAGCAGGTGAACTCGCCCCCACTTCCCAGATGGACTTCCCTGAGATTTGGCGCCGTGTCTCCACACATGCCATTCAGCTCTCGATTAAATTCTTTTTTGATAAGTGATTTGAACAGATGAATAAATACAGCCATTAATTATCACTGAAGTGGGTGCTGGTTTCACAGTGGGAGGGATACGTCCTGTCCCTCACAAGTTCAGCGTCCAGAATTATACTGATTATGTAACTTACCATCTGAGCCAAGCATTTTAAGTCTTCCAAAATGAAGGCAGAGTCACATATTAAAAGTATTAAAATAGCCGAAACTGGTTTGGCTCAGTGGATAGAGTGTCGGACTGCGGACTGGAAGGTCCCGGGTTTGATTCCGGTCAAGGGCATGTACCTTGGTTGAGGGCACATCCCCAGTAGGTGTGCAAGAGGCAGCTGGTTGATGTTTCTCTCTCATGGATGTTTCTAACTCTCTATCCCTCTCAATTCCTCTCTGTGTAAAATCAATAAAAAATATATCTTTAAAAAAAAAGTATTAAAATATTTAAATAGTCTCAAAGCACGTAGCCTGCCCGAGGGAGGAAACTGATTTCAAAAGAAACAATATTGTGAAGTTCTGCTGTGTTTTGAATTGATTAAAGCAAAACTACCATCCTCCAAAATAAAATATCAACAGAGATGGGTTGTTCTATGTGCACAGCATGCCAGGTATGTGCTAAGCATTTGACATGCCAAACTATCTCATGTGTCATAAAGTAAGCGTTATCATTTCCATTTTACTGATGAGGAAACAGAAGCTCAAAGAAATTGACTAAGCAGGCCAGGGTTCGGTCCAATTGTGCTCTCCTGTTACTTGCGTTTGTGTAATCAGGCTTACAGGAGGCACCTCTTTAAGGTCCAGCACAGAACACACTCAATTCCCTTTCCTCATCTTCCTCCTCTGTTACAAACGCTTTTGACTCTTTATCAGGGAGCAGAATCCTTGTAGATCATAGGAGGGGTGGTCTCCTTGTCAGCAATTATCCATGGCATTTGTGATCAGAAGGAAATAGTCCTCATAGGGTAAAGGACAGATATAGGTGAGGGGGAAAAACAAGTACACACGACTCTCTCTCCAAAGACTATTAAATCACACAGAAGGCCGACACATAGGAAATAAAAGTGATTGTTTTCTAGAGTGTATGCCATTCTTTCCACTGTAGGCTAGTTTTCTGGAAAGAGATCGGTGGCCACATAACTATGTGTACCCAAGGAAAAAACATTTTCTATGAGGATGGACTATATTCTTCCTTTCCAAAGAAATGGTCAAGAAATTCGTTAGCTTCTATCAAATGTTCCTCTCCTCACTGATCTTGCCCTAATGTTCCGAGATACATTCTGGTCCTATTAAGTCAGTTAACATTTTCTCTCTTCCTGGAGCCTACTGATGCTTCTGGGGGCGTTGTGAGGTTTTGGGGGTCACCTTTTTATAACTTGAGCCCATTGCACTTGACATTCCAAGAAGTCAGTCGTGGTTTCTTTTTCTTTGGCGGCTTTAGTTGTCTACAAAAAGCTCCACACTGCAGCGGCCAGCTAGTCGGACAATGTTGGAGGGGTGGTGTTTTAGAAATACAAAATTCTTGCCGAAACCAGTTTGGCTCAGTGGTAGAGCGTTGGTCTGTAGACTGTAAAGGTCCCAGGTTCGATTCTGGCCAAGGGCATGTACATTGGTTGCGGGCACATCCTCGGTAGGGGGTGTGCAGGAGGCAGCTGGTCGATGTTTCTCTCTCATTGACATTTCTAGCTATCTCTCTCCCTTCCTCTCTGCAAAAAATCAATAAAATATATTTTAAATAGAATTACAAAATTCTTGAGCAAAGGTTTTTATTCACAGACAGGGCAACAAGCTGCCTATGCCAGTGAAGCTTAAAGTAACCCCTGTGTGACTGTGTGAGGCAGGGTGGCTCATCACAGCAATTTTCACTTTGCTTTATTCATGTAATATATGTTTAAATACATGTTCCATGCTTATGTATCCCTGAGTGCTCACGAGGGCTACATTTCACTACATGGTATGTTTTTATTTCTCATACTTATGACTCAGATCCACTAGGAGGGATATTCACAAAATGTGTCCCTTCAGATGTGAAGTCTCCTCTAGTTCTGATCCAGTTCCAAGAGAGGCTGAATTTGCTTCTAGTCTCCTGACTATCCCAAAGCTTTAACGAACACCCCAGGATCCTGGGTTTCGCTCACATTTATGGGTCAGTATGACCAGTTTAATATCTGTGCATTTAAAAACACCAGATGGAAATGGAACCCAAGTTCCATGCCCGGAAAATGTTTCCTTCAATGGTAGAAATCCGGTAAGCTTCAAAACAGCACTAGGAGCAATGGGCCTGGGACCACACTCTCTGGGCTGCTGGCATGCTGCTGCCACCGCAGGCTGTGTTCACAGCTCAGCCTGCGCAGACCCTGCTTCTCCTCACAGTGTGAATGTTCCATCTCCTATTGTTTCCGTTCTGGGACCTGCCAGACCGTCTCCTTCCTATGCTTCCCTAAGTATGGCCTTCCCTAAGTATGGCCTCCAGGCTTCTGTGAGCCCCTTGGCATTCTTTAGTTTGTAGCCACCTAACTCCAATCTCTGCTCCATCTTCATGTACATCTTCTCTGCATCTTTGTCTACACATGGCCATCTTCTTATGTCATATTGGACTAGGGCAGTAGTCAGCAAACCCATTAGTCAACAGAGCCAAATATCAACAGTACAACGATTGAAATTTCTTTTGAGAGCCAATTTTTTAAACTTAAACTTCTTCTAGTGCCACTTCTTTAAAATAGACTCGCCCAGGGGCCATGGTATTTTGTGGAAGAGCCACACTCAAGGGGCCAAAGAGCTGCATGGGGCTCGTGAGCCGCAGTTTGCCGACCACTGGACTAGGGGCCCACCTGACTCCAGTATGACCTCATCTTCACTAATCACATCTGCAATGGCCTTACTTCCAAATAAGTAAGACTTCAGTATATTTTGGGGGAGGAGGGATATAATTCAACCCATGACAACTCCTAGATCAGAGAAGGCTGGCTATGAGATCTTGAGCTAATGGGGCTAAGAATGCCTTGTGGGCCCATTGTTGAAACATTACGAACCCAAATCTGTCAATGCCACATCACGGAGGGACTCTGAACAACCTGGTGGGCTGAGTGAAAATGGGCTCCACTCCACACATAAGCATTCTTATTACAAAGAACCAGGAGAGCAGAGCTGGGGATGGGGGGGGGTGGGAGGGGGGAGAGGAGAGGGATTCTTTCCAAAGGTTGCAAGTGAAGAGGGAGCTAGAAGTCGGAGCATGGAAGGAGCACCAGGCAGGGCAGACAGATGCTGTTGACTTCTCACCTCCCAGCAGAGACAGACCACAGAGCCGTGCAGGAGGTGGAAACTGAAATGTCTGCACAAAGCCCCTGGTGTCTGGCCCCTGCAGAGAGCGTGGACTAGGAAAAAAATCCACCATTAGTTCAAGAAGCTGTAAGACAGCTTGTTACCTGCTTGGTTCAAGCCTTTATGACATGGAAGTGTGGGTTCAGATTTATAGAACCTACATGATGTGGAAATCCCAGCCTGAGACATTGATAGTAAAATTGGTCTAGGACCAGTGAACCGAGCCGAGCAAATGCATGACTCTGCTGGGTGGCACATCCACAGCCAGCTGCAGGAGGCTTCTGCTGAAACGCTGCCACCTGCTCATACACACAAGCGAGGACAGAAACCAGAGCCGATGCCTGCTGGGCTCGCAGGGGAGGATCCTCAAGCCTTCCCCCTTCACTTCGGTTCCACAGTAAACCGCTGTCTGCCCACACAAACAGGAACGGTCACACTCCACACAACCTATGTGGCTCAGCCCGAAGTCTTCCCGACATAGCAGGAAAACGAAGAGGACAGGTAATCCCCACCCCCTTGAGAGCAGAATCCCTGCTGCCCCCAGTGTCTGGTTGTGTAGGATCTCATCTCCTATGACACAGCACAAATCGACCAACGTAATTAATAGGCACCTGCAATTGCCTTTACCTCAGGATATTGGCTGCAGCTTTCCTTTCTTGGGGAAGAAGGTCTGGGTCTCGCAAAACGTCTTCTAGCAAATTTAGGACGTTCATCTTTAGTTCATTGTCGAGTTCAAAATCCTACAAAATAAAATGGATATTTTTACATTTCCATTTTGAAGGGTTTCGCTCCGTGATACGTGATACCATTCCTCATGATAAGTTCTCTGGAGCTATGTGTGGGAAACAAAATGTATGGATCTTAGACTTCCCTTAGAGGTCCTGACTTCCTGGTTTGGGACGGGGCTCTGTTGTTGTTATTTCTAACAGGCTTTCCAGGGATGGGAATTCCTCAAAGAGATATGTGCTTCTCTTGCCTGGAGCACTGTGCCTTCTCTCCACATTCATCTTTCAAGTCTAGGGAGTGATGTCATTTTCCCCAGAAGCCTTCTTTAGTTGACCCAGAGGGTAAAGAGCTTTGCCCTGCCCAGCCACTGTGACTCAGTGGTTGAGCATTGGTCTATGAACCAGGAGTCATGGTTTAATTCCCTGTCAGAGCAGATGCCTGGGTTGCGGCCTCATTCCCCAGTGTGGGGCGTGCAAGAAGCAGCCAATCAATGATTCTCTCTCTTCATTGATGTTTCTATCTCTCTTCCTCTCCTTTCCTCTATGAAATTAATAAAAGTATTTTTTAAAAAACTAATTGCAATCACTTTAATTAAGAAAAACATACTTTTGTTATATTTAGTAAATTAAGGGCAAAAAAGTTCATAATTTCAAAAAATGAAGACAGTGCCAAAGTCTAACCTAATTTAAATTGAATGTTTTTGCACCTCAGTTTGGTGAGAACCGCATGATACATTTTTCTCGATATTTTACTTTCCCTGTTTGACCATCAGTACCATTTCTTCTGGAGCTACGGGGGCCCAGGGCAATACAGATGTTAACACCCCTTACCAATCATAGAACTTCAAATACGCTTTCCTACAATTTCACCTGTATTGTCCAGAAGATTGTTGGTTGTTGATTTTCCTTTTAAAATGTATGCAAGAAGAGAGTAATGCCTTGGCTGTTGTTTTTTGTTCCACCCTTTCCTTCATTTTAACAGTTAATGATTTCACCTACTCCAATCTGTGTGCACTACCAAAGATTTCTCAGCCATCAAGAGTCTTTTTCTTAATGAATAGTTGATATTTACTAGTGAGATGATCAAATCCTTTTGTAGTAATGTTAGGTCCCTAATGATATAAATAATCTGATGATCATAAATAGGTTAGTGTGAAGGACTTCAGGCCAGTGCTGGACCTTGTTGAAGGCTAATTAGTGGTTTAATCAACAAGCATCATGAATCACCTATTGCTGGGCTTTACAAAGGGACCCATTCTGAGACCCTAGAAAGGTGAATTGTGTGAAAGGTCTTGTTTTGAAAAACAGAATATAATTTTATTATTTAACCCCTGGGAAGACTAGCCTGAGAGAGCCCTTTGAAAACTTGGTCACATCTGCCCAAACATTCTTTGGAGTCTGACAAATGGTTACAGGTGAATATTCGCACTGCCGCCGGTGTAGGTAATGTAAGCAGATTATCTGACGATGGCTGAGTCTAAAATATAAAAGTTCTCACTCATAATTTCCCCTTACATTTGCACAGGTTTTTACCATGTTCAAAGTGAATTCCTGCATATGATTTCAGTTCTTTCTCAGCTGGTCCAGGGACAGACAAGGCTGGAGCCATGATCTGGTTTCAGCAGGGGCCACTGGGCTGAGAGAAGAGGGGTAAGGAGGGGGTGGCTCAGACCAGGAACATGAGTCTGCCTTCAGGCCCTGGTAGGAGTGCTTTACACCTGCACTTCTCAAACTGTCATGTGGCCACAAATCACCGCAGATTCTGGCACAGCAGGTCTGGAATGGGGATTGAGATCCCACTTTTCTAAGGAGCCCCTGAGTGATGCGATCACCCTCGGAGTAGCAAGACTTTGCCTTAAAAAAAAAAAAAATCACGCAAAACACTCTTCTAAAACGGATTTTAAAAATATGAATCATCTGATGTACTACCTAGCAAGTAAAATTTCTTTTTTGAACCCATGCATGTAAATTGCAAAATTGGCCATTTAAAAGTCCCAGTCAAAAACATATTAACTACTACCCACTAAAATGAAGTCTGAAGCAGCTAAAAGTCACTTGCACTATTTAAATCATAGATAGGTTATTCATAATAAATCTTCCTGACAGCCATTTTGTAATTATCTAGAATCTAATTTTTGGCTGTATTTCCCTAGGCCCTGAAGCAGGAAACGAGACTATTGGGCGGTAGGAAATGGCATGGGCAGCACTCAGGACATTCACTAGATGGCGCTCTTGGGCCGTCTGACTATAGTATCTGGCTTTGGGCATCGCCTTGGAATTGGATCTGGCAGCTGGTGCACAGGGAGCAGGGTCCTGTGTAGGAAAGCTGCCTGCTGAAACTCATCTCACACAGTTTCATGCTCCAGGTGAGTGAACCCTATGGCACCCCGAGGACCCGAGGCATTCACTGAAGTTATCACAGCAACAGCTTATTTAGGGTGGTTTTTGTTTTCCAATTCATGAAGCAGGGATAAGGAGACAGAAGATTAGAGAAAAACAAAACAACCCATCTTACTTTCAAAGGTGAAGAGACCAGAACATGTGAGACTTTGACATTTAAATCTCTAAAAAGGATACTAGACTCTAGCTCGTTTGTTCTATTATTCCTGAGCACCTCAATGCATGAGGCTTTAGGGGAGAAGCGGAGAGGGAACAGAAGTCTGGGCAGATGGGCAGAGGACAGAAATATTAACCCATGAAACCCAAGGAGAGGGGCTTGTGGAGGAGCCATCCAAATGCAGGTGAGTGCTTGGTAGTGCCTGACTGGGGCACAGGAGAGAGGCTGGGCCTGGAAATGTAGGTCTGAACCCTGCCAGGAGGGGACAGCCCGAGCAAGTGTCCAGGACTAGGGAGTGGCACACAGCAAAGGCTTGGGAACACATCACCGATGGATGGTGCCATAATCCTCCTCAAGAGATACGTATTGTGAGGTGAAGGTATTTTACCAAGATCTTACTGAGGCTACTCAAACACTTGACTCCATGATCAGAAAGCCAGTATTTCCTCTAGGTTAGGGAGCAATGCCTGGAGCAGTTATCATAACCAAGACAGTGAGAATTTGCCACATACTAAGTGGTACTTTAATAACTTCATTCTCTAATTTAACCCCCAGTCACAGCAAAGTTACCATCATTATTATTCCCATGTAATATGCAAGGAAGTCAAGGCATAACGAATCTTAGTATCGTGATCAAAGTCACACAGGTAGCAGGTGGCAGACCCAGGACTCAAGTCCAGGCAGTGTTGGCTGAAGCCTGAGGTCTTTAACTGCTACACCACACAGACTCTGCAGAAAAAGTGGGTATCAGTGAGTCAGTGCTGGTGGGGTTGGGCTTCAAGACATAACACAGTAGCTGGTTACCATGCCAAGTCGGGAACTGTTTCCCACCTATACTAGCAGCTATTTGAGATAGAGATGTTGAGATTTGGGTCTATATTAACAAGATGAGATCACACAACAGAAAAAAAAAATCTGTGAGTCAATACATCAGATTCTCCAGCACTTTAAAATGAATCCCTGTTGATAGCTTAGACATCATGGAAATTACATTCATTCTTTCAGGAGAGCAGGGTGATCGTTAGTAATATACTGCGTATGGCCAAGGGAATTCTAGGACTCTGGGAAATCAGATTCAATAAACACAGTTTGAGGGTAAAGAGAATTATGAGAGTAATTTTCTCACTGTAATCAGTACAATGTATTTCCTAACAATGGCCAGGATTTTTTAAAGGAAAAGTAGAAATACTGCAGAGTGGAGTAAAACCACATAAATCATTTTAAAACGTGGAGCAAAGGGCTCATAAAGAAGGGCTTTAGGAGGCGTTAGGCTCAAACATAAGGGGTTTGACATAATGATTTTCAGAAAAATGAAAAGCACACTACTGTTTTCTGTCTTGTTTGACTAGAGGGGATGAACATTTAATTTAAATTGTGGTGCAGAGAGAGGACCAAGGAACCATGGCTTCTTTGGCTGCTGTTTGCAGTAGTCCCGGGAGGAAAAAGTTTACGTACTTCCTCATGGCTGCTGTCGGCTGCCCAAACCCAGGACCTCGAGCAGTGCTATGGAGAAGTTGTTCACAGTATAAACAGGTAAGCAGCAACGAGGACCTGCCCGTTCCAATAGAAAATCCTTATAAGGAGCCTCTTAAAAAGTGTGTCTTCCCGAAACCGGTTTGGCTCGGTGGATAGAGCGTCAGCCTGCGGCAGTCAAGGGCATGTGCCTTGGTTGTGGGTACATCCCCAGTAGGGACTGTGCAGGAGGCAGCTGATCGATGTTTCTCTCTCATCAATGATTCTGGCTCTCTATCTCTCTCCCTTCCTTTCTGTACAAAATCAATAAAATATATATATATATATTTTAAAGTGTGTCTTGTGTGGAAAACGTGTCGATTATTAGAATGTACAGCTTTCTAATGTACAGCTTTCTAATGAACAGCTTTTGTCCCAGTTTATTTCTCCATTTACTGGAGAGGCACATAACAGGTCTCTGTGGGAAGGAACGAAAAGAAATCACAAAAGCTATTAAGAGAGCACAAATAATGGGATTTATGCCAGTTACATACAAGGATCCTGCATATCTCAAAGACCCTAAAATTTGTAACATCAAATATTGGGAGTAAATTATGTGAAGTTATCATCAATAAACTTATTTTAAAATAAATAAATACATAAATAAATAAATTGTGGTGTACATGTAGGTTATACTAGTATCTGGGGCCATTTTATTAACTGAGAAACCGGACCGAGATGCCCAGTGATCATCCCAAGATCTATGCAAATGAACCCTGACAGCATAGGGAGGCCCTCCATGGGATCCCTCATTTTAATAAACCGGAGGTAACAAGCCTCCTTACCAGAGTGGTTTTCAGCTCTTTTAAGGAGGTGAATCTATTCAGAACTTTAACATTGTAACCCCCTCCCAGGGGAGGCCTGCTGGCTACCAGCTGTCAAGGGAGACCCTGCTCTGCACCTGTGGGCCTTGCCCACCCACCACCAACGCCAGCCTGCTGACCTT